TTGAATACTATGTGAATTTCAATTTGTGACGGCTAATACTACACCTAATACAGATACTAGCAATTGAAACGTATGAAATTAATATAAAATTACAGTGCTACAATGTTTGTTGTGTTCGCTTTTATATTTATACACCCAAAATACGCCTTTACTATAGTCGATTGTCTAACTTCCTATAGTGTAATCAAGTTTCAAGATTTTCACTAAATGGTCCATTAAAGTTTCACACAATTATTTATTTATTTATTTACACTTCGTTACATAAGTTATTAGGCAACGGGCGGCCTTCTTGCTAACAAGCGACTTCTTTCTGGCAACCCTAGTTTGGATAAATAAAAACAGGAACACCAAGAAGTGCATAAATAATTAACAAAAAACCTAAACTAAACTAAAATCTTAAAAAAGAAATGAATAATGTGACAGCTAATTTTAATATATAACAGGTGAACTGAAAAGATCGTAGTCTAAAATAGAAAACACCTTTTTTATAGAATCAAACACTGCTCATAATCATCAATTCGTTGTTTTTTTTGATCCACCACTTTAAACGGAGCTTTCGCATATCCAAATATTCATCTAGAATATGTCCAAGACGTTCCTTTAAAATCTTTAGGGTCTCCGCTATCTTAATCAACTTCACTTTTCGGTTGTCCAAAATTATTTGGTAGACTTTTTCATGTTTTCGTCGGTAACAGCCTCTTTGGGGCTTCACTGCGTACATCGTCCTCGGTGCTCATTTCGCCTGGTTTAATCTTTGCAATCCACTTATCTACGATTGATTTTCCTGGTGCAGGGTCCGAATAATGTTTTAGCCAAGCCTGGCAAGGCCCCAAAAAGTTTAATCAAAACGAATTCCTTATCATCCATTTTTTTTTCAAATAAACGTTCCTTCACTTAAAATATTATGTCTGACTAACTAATAGTACGACAGTTGTAAAATTTATAAACATGTCTTTTAGAGGTAGGGCTAACTAAATTTCATATTAATTTAATACTAGGAGTGCCATCTATTTCGATCTGCGAACTTTGCAGCCCACCGATTAAGTAGCTAATTACGAGACACATGAGAAATGCTAGAATATTAGTTGTTGCGAATTAGAATGTGAGTTCAAGGTTTTGCACTGTCACGTGTCACGAAGGTATCGATTACGCGAGACAATAGGTTTATAATTTTGTGTAATCTCAATGCTATACTAATTATGGGGGTAAAGATTTTTTATACTTAGACGCAACTCAAAATTCCCCCGAGGCTCATACATAATCAGTATTATCAAATTCAGGCGACTAATTTCTAAATTCAACCCATTATGGGTGTAATATATTCACATTAATATTTTCAACGGAAATAAATATCAGAAAATCTTTCATTGGGAAACAAATTAGGAATGAATAAATGAAATGTGTTTTTCGTAATGAAGTCTTCTAATACCTATTAATACAGGTAACGCGTATCAGCTGTAAAACACGCGTTCTCTGTAGATTTGATTCCATAGAGTTACTACGCAATAAAGTAACTGCTAGGTAATCACAATTCGGCATTAGCGATTTCTATATTGTTACTACAGGCTATAAATATCAAATTTAGAAGTGTGGTATAATATAACGCCAGAATTTATTCTCTTATAAAAGTATTACAGTGGAATCTCGATAACTCGAACCTCGGTAAGTCGAAATCCTCAGTAGGTAAGTCGAAAAAATTGTCATTCCCTTCCATTCCATTATATGTATGTATCTCGAAGTTCTTGTTAAGTCGAAAACTCGTCAATTCGATTTTTTTTGACGTTCCCTTCGAGTTATCCAGATTCCACTGTATAAGCTAAAATAATGTAACGATTAATAACAAAACATGAAATTGCCTTTTGAGGTCTGTATTGCACTTATGAATAAAAGCGATACCAGAACATACAACAAAGGATAATTTATTTATTTAAATAAAGCTTTGCCAACGGGTATTGCAATAAAATCTGTGCATCCACTGGGAACCTCCTTAACGATGTCGTAAGTCCATCTAGTCAGTGGGCCACGGACTTATTTTAACTACCAATACATTAACTAAAAATATCTGATTATAATAAATAAATAAATAACCAATAAAAATTAGGGCAAAATTTTGAATCTCTGCAAAACTTGGTGAGAGTGTATGGGTTCAATTAAAGTATTATAAATATAGTAGTTAATCTGGCAATACTTCAAACTTATTTTTGAGATATTTATCTAAAAAACGAATACATGTATCTTTTAATCAAATCCAGAATTGGTTTTTATAAATCAGTTGCATTACTGCTACTAGTCGTGAATGTAGGATTTGTAATTTCTCTCTATTTTATCGTAGCTCTACTGTACTGGAGCAAGGCCAAATATTTTCGCTTTTATTTTAGTAGAGCACTATTCCGTATCGGTATTTACTAGACTATATGAAAAACTTATTGTCTTTATAACAATGAATAAGGGGCATTATAAACAATACAATACGCGTTATTTAATTTAAAAATTGTAAATGTATGAGCGCGTATCTACAACCATATATATAACAATACAAACACAACCCCACCAGATCCGCGCTTGTTCTGTATTTTATTACCATAGGTCATCAAAGTCAAAGAGCTAAAATATCCATCAAAACTCAATCATAGTATGTATAATAGTACCAATACAGTACTATACCAAGGAATCATATATATTTACAGTATTAGCACTAGAAAAACACTTAAAACGTCGAGTTATATAAATAGTGTAGTAAATAACAAATTGGCCTTCAAAGTTTTGTGTAAATTTTAAACTTACCCGTAAACATATATCATCCCATAAATCAAAGATGTTGATGCTAAAATATTCAATTGAAAAACATTTACGATTCTCATATGATTTTAATAATTTTAAATCTTCTTGCGTCATTATTTAATGAATTCATAACGGTCCGTTGACGTTTAATATTTTATATTAAGTGCTTTGGGTTTGTCGTGCTCCTATTATTTGAACACATATTACTACAAAATTATACCATCAATATTTTTATGATCGTGGAATAAATCTTCTAAGAAATACGTAAAGTCCAAAGAACATTTCGATTCTATGTACAATATGATGTCATTATTCAATAACATCACAATAAATTCTTCATGCTGACCTTTACACTTAGTAACTATCATAGTATGTATTAATAGGATTGGAAGCCTTTGGCGGTACTTATGCTAGGCTCTCATAAATCACTATACCACACATACAATGCCAAAATCATTGTTTAATTACGTTTTATGCTTCTTGAGATACCTCTGGGATGCCTACATTACTTTTCCATTCTAATGTTTCTATTGACTTTTTTACTAAGCGTGAAACAAACGGAAAAGTGTTTAACAGTGCAAAATTTCCCATGGAGATAGCACCAAGTTCTTGAAAAAAGAACATACTCCAACCTCAAACTACACCATCACTACCATGTGTGTCCATAGGTTGCGGTAGCTGACTTTTTGGGCCGCCCCGTGGGGTCGTCAAAAAAATATAATTTCAAATACTTACCTTGAAAATAAAAATATTTTTCATTCGTAACAATTTTATTATAATCACAACTGCCACAAAACATTAACGGTAATTTGTTAACGTCAATGCATTATTATATTCATGAAATCTTGGCTTTAATATATTTAAATCAATACAACGGTGTTCAGTGTCAGTCAGTCCTTGAGTGTTCTCAAGGTCAAAAAATTATTCGTTCTACGGTTATTTTATTTTTTCTCTGAAACATTATCCTTTTTAAAAGGAGGACAATCAAATATTTATAAATTCTGGAAGATATACACGTGTAAAAATAAAATGAGAATCAGAGGAGACGTTTTGTATTGAAGAAGACGCATTGGTGCGCCAAGCGTCCGCGAAACGTAAAACAACAAAGCAAATTCATAAATGGCAACAACCCTTCATTTCTAACCTTAGGAGATTATATTTATTTATTATATTATTATAGATAGATAGAGGATAGTTCAAAATGTTTATATTTAATTGGTAAATTTCAGAAATAGTATTTGATCTTGACGAATATTAAATCAAATTATTTTATTGGTTTATCGTTTCTAGAACTTAAATATGCTTTCACGAGCACGAGAAAATGGTTGAAATAGGTGTCAAACCATTTTTACTATGACATTGTGACTAGATAACTTTTGGAATTCGGGCCTTAGAAATCTAGCCATAAAGATTGTAACAAATTAAATTCTACTTATAATTCTATTAAATATACCATCCATCTATAAAATCTGTATCTCCCCTTGGCATAAAATTGCTTTAATCCTTTACGTAATTTTAATTCACTTTGTGACCACACCTCGCTTGAAGTATGACTGATACAACGGTAAGTCCGCGTTGTGCATTGTACATTGAACCTTAAGAGTTCGTAATTACGACTGCTGTAATCTACGTAGTCCAAATAATATAGGTTTAATCCTGCTAGTTCAGTAATATACATCAAGCTACCTGGATACACTTTGTCCATTGTACAATGAACCTTAAGACTGGGTTCACACGGCATTGTCCTGCACGTTTTCTTTGTATTCGTTTTTTTAACGTACTTTCACCCGGGTGTTCACATGGTAGATTTTCATTCGTGTATAATACGAATAGCCGCAGTCTTCAAACAGTTGTCACAGTGAGCGAAAACGAGACAGAGCTATATTATGTGCCCCTTTAAACCGAATTTACGTTAAAGTTCATTCGATTTGCTTGACAAGTCCGTTGAGTATTCGTTTGAACGTATAAACGTTGTACGATATATTGCAGTAAAAACGCCGTGTGTGGGTCTATGTACAATACATGTGCCACTATTTATTCGTTAAGATGTATACTGCAAAACGTGCAGGACAATGCCGTGTGATGGGTTCACTACGGGTCTAATACGTATCAATGACGTTTATAAAAAATTAGAAATTGAAATACTTTTGTCTCAATCTCGCTATTATTAATAAAAAAACAAAATTGTTTTGGTGAATTGTTGCAGATCCCATTTAATGCCACCAAAGATGGGGAACGATATTCTGTCTTCACATACACGCCGTGGTCCGTCCTTCTATTCTTCATGGTTCTATTTGTAATGGCTTCTCTTGCCTTCTGTTTCATGGTGAGCGTGTTCTTTACAAGAGGTGAGTTTTATTAATAAAATATATACAGTAGAATATTAGTATTTTAAGTATTTTTTAATTTATTTATCATATAAAATTTATATACACTGAAATTATTAATTATGGTTGGAATCGAAGGATTATTAATAGTAAAATTTTATTTTTTTAATGCATGCACATATAATGTAATAATTAATCATATGACATACTTGTTTAATATATTATTCATTCATGCTATAATAATATTATAGTAGAACCTCCCTTACTCGAAATCTCAACTCTCTATTTAACTCGAAAATCTCTAAAGTTCCTGCAAGCTTTTTTACATATTTTCCCTCTATAACTAGAAAAATTAAAATGCATCTGTGTATCTCGAACATTTTTATTTTACAACATTTACAACTCGATATTTGAAACATTTACGTTAATAGTTCGAAGAAAAACGAGTTATTGAATTGTTATAGATTTTCTTTTTTTACAACCTCCTTAACTCAAAATTAGTACGAATAAATCTTAACATCTACAAGTTGAATCAAAATCCGCCTAAATCCTAGCTAGTCGCCATTAGTCGCAAACTCTATAACTCGAATTTATTGACGTCGCCCTTGATGTTCGAGTCATGCTCGTGAACGGGTGCTGCTTGTGGTGACTGGTCGTACTTGAATTCGTGTATGCGGTGATGTTGGTTATTTCGACTATGTGTTTGCGTGTTGTTCCCACGAGAATGTAAGTGCGTGCTCCTATTTCACCATGCCTTCTGCTGATAGAGGACAAATCTTTGTTTTAATTTATGTTATTATTATTAATTACTTAAAATGTCACATGGGACATGGTGTAATGGTTGCAGCTCCTTACGAACATTTTGAAAACAAAAAAATGGCGAATAAAAAGAGTGGCGGAGAGTTTATTGCCAGTTCTTCTTTCCCGTTCTACGCCCTTGATTTGAGAACTGGCAGTAAATATAAAATTAGAAGCATTAATATGTATTTCTTTACTGACAAGTCATAAGTGTACATTATGTTACCTATGTGATTAAATGATTTTTTTTTAAAGTGGTGCTACTGTACTTATAGGCATCTAAATTTTTTTTATGAAAAAGCTAATTACACTTTTGCTTTAAGTCTCGTGACGTCATTGGTGGGGAATGATTAGCTTTATTTGTCTTCCAAAGCGAAACTACGATTATTTGAACTGGAATATACCCAGAACCACCTGTTGTATCGATAATCGTAAACTGCCATACGTTCTCTTGTTTGGGAATTGAAACATATATATCACTAATCACTATTTAATCGTCAGACGGCAATCTGTTCCTCCGTATACCATGAAAATATTTAAAATTGGGGGCCTAGAGAACGTACAAAACGATAGCGTGACATTTATTTCGTAATTTTTAGTCATAATGATAGCAGTTGCGTGATTTGTGCGTTTGAATCACGGCGTTGCATTTGTTTTTTTATCTATGTGCGCAATTAATCTTACGGTGATGGCAAACATTGTGAGGAAACCGACATGTGTCAGACAGAAGGCTGATCAGCTAATGAAAAAGTCAAAATGATCAAAGAAACGTATGTAATCAAATGAGTCCAAGATCTATGTAGGGTTGTGGCGCCACTAGATTATGTCCTCCTAATGAGGCTTTTTATGAGTTTGATCCGAAGAATGGCCTTGAGTTGCTATACTAATGTTATATGAAACTGTCATGTTGGCTCCAGAGAGTTTTTTTTTAATTATAATAGTACTCTACTCCCCTGCCATTGTGTCCAGGGACTTTTACTATCTTTTAAATTTTTACTAAAAAGATACAAATATATTAATTAAAATAAACTAGTTCACGAATGACGCGTTACGCGTTTCGCGAGATACGCCTCTGGTACATCGGTAATATTTCCAGAGAGAGAGTTATATATGGCATGGTTTATTCAATAGGAATCCTGAGAAATTATTTTAAAATGGAATAGATAAAGAAAAAGTGACATAAGTCGGGACTACGAGACTTCATAGATTCAACGTCTTAATTTATTTTATTTCTTTAAACAATAATCAAATAATATTAACAATAAACTTAATAAAGATGGTGCAACGAGTCAACGCTCTTTCAGGCAACTAATTAAAGAACTCGCTAAAAAGAAATGCCAAGAAGTGCCAGAGTTCGAGAGAGAACTTTATAATAAAGACAATTAATAACGCATAAACTTACCAAAACAGAGAAAACAAGAAAAACATATTTATTAAATCTGACAACGATACGAAATTATAATAAATTTTGATAATCTTTGTAAATATATATTGAAATATTGTTAAGAATAGTTATCGTTTTCAGCAAACACTGCAGCTTCATTTATGGGTCTTATGTGGTTTTCGACATATTCAGCTTATTTTCTAACGCAAATGCTTTACGAAGATGTTAGCCTACATACGAAATTCCTACTCAGTTTGATATCAAATGCTGCGATGGGCTTCGTACTACAGATGCTGATAATCTGTGAAGGGACGTCTCAAGGTAAGAATTCATTATATGTTGATAGATTGTGTACGCAAAAGATTCTTGGTTATTATTACTTTGTTTGAAATTGTAACAATTTTGCTGTGAATACGTTATTACATTTGCTAATGAACTCCAAAAACCTAAAAACATAATCGGGGGATATAGTTTGGCGTTGCAGTTTCGAAGCTATCCCCTGCATCCGAAATTAAATTATACCACTGGATAGCTAAAAGATCAAAGAATTCATTACGAACGAGAATAGTGACGCATCTCGCTCAGAGGGGCAGCGCCGCCATTTTGAGGTGATTTTACTGTGTATCGAGCTATTATATCTAACTACTATTATATCCGTTACAAAAATGTATTCACGTAAAACAAGACGGTGTCTATGAAACAGCCACATCCCGTTTTTTATAAGTCTATATATTGCCCATCTGGTTCTCTCATGCGCTTTGAGTCCCGCATTGTAATTAAAACGCGTCCTATAATTTCCCATCCCATTAATTTCCATTAAATCCTATGAAAAAAAAGACCCAATATTCTTTAGAATGCCGTTTACTGCCTTCTTGTACTCTTTGAAGCAGTAGTCTATATTATTTGCGTAAATAAAACATTGTCGAGTAATGAATCATAATAAACGAATTTCCGAGAATTAACCATTTATTGCAACAGATCTCTTTGTACTTTCAAATGATTCACATGTAGGAATAATTTGTCTTTACCTTAAACATATATATATAAAAGGCCTCAAAGTTACTAAACTAACTACTAACTTAATATTAATCTAAACAACATTTGTTGAGGCCCGTTTGCCCCCTGCATTATAAAAAAAAACAATTAAAAAATTTAATACTTTAAATAAACATTTACATTATATTATTCTTCAATTTGTCAACATTAAATGCATGTTATTTGTATGATATAACAAAACATTTATAATAAATGTATTTGACACAGTTACCCGGTGACCGAGTAAGATAAGAGAAATACAATATGTTTGCCTTGTAATGTTATTGAACTTGAATGCGGTCAATAGCTTAAACTTGTGAATTTTATAAGTTATATAAAAAAGTAAAAGTAACAAGTGAATGTTTTTGATGTAAAGGTTTAAGATGTTAGATTCGCAGAAGTTTTTAGGTCTTTTGATACTGAACGAAATGAATCCCACAACACTAACTATATTTTCGTGAGTGATACGCTGATACAAATTCAATTACCATAAAAAAAAAACAAAATATAATTTACTCATCTCGGTAACTTAATGTACACTTACGAACCAGTAAAAACTGTGTAACTGTCAGTTCTCAAACCCGTAGAGCGGACGAGAAGAACTGGCAGTAAACTCTCCGTCACTGTTTTAAAAGTTATTAGTTAAAGCAATTAAGAATTGTGAATAAACCAAATATAATGAATAAATAATAAACAAAACCAAACGTTTCACTGTGATATAGAAGTGCAATTACACATTGCGATCCTGTATGTAATAAGTAGATTTTTTTTTAAATCACTTGTACAATACAAGGTTAATGTTTTCCTAAATAATACGTATAAAATGCTAAAAATATCACTGCCTAATGCCTAATTGGGACTAGTTACCCCAACAAATTCGATACTCGACACGCAATGGTTAATATCGTACTTTATTATGTTATTTAAACAAATATTCCGCTCAGGAAAACTCACATTACACACAAAATGCCTTTAATTTAATCTTATTATGTAAGTAAGTAATAGTTAATATAGTTTAACTCCACTAATATGACCCGCTGTGTAGATTACTATCGTATCGTGTATATAGACCATTAGATAGTCGTTCCTTTTTACAGAAAATTATAGCGATTCTATAATAACAGACCATAAGTTGGCCAGTTTGAAATGCTTAGATGTTTCCAGGTTTTTGCTACAAAAAATATGACTTACGAACTTACCTCCCCCATACATAAATGCCAAGTTACTTGCCAACCATTGGTGTTTATTGTATGCATATAGAATACCGTCATAGCGTAATTTAATAAGTTTTATATCCGTTGCCGTGGAAACAGGGAATCCCCAAACATTGTGTTGCGTGCGCTAAATGCAAGTATGTAAATTACCACCCTACTCTACATTTTAAAGCTACAATAGCCTAACAAAATGTGAGAGTTTATATATCTACTTGACCCAGGCAGCATCTTTGATGTATCGTGAATAAAAAAATATAAATTTAGTAAGAAGAAAAGTCTACTAATTCTTTCGTGTGTACACTGTAAAATATGCAACTTATAAAAACTTAAAAAATAACATTTATTAATAAAGACACAATGTTCTGTTTTTAACAAATATAGAAAAGGTACAAAAGTTCACTCTACTAGGTTTAGCCATAGACTAGCATATAAACTGGAAATATCATGTAAATAAGGTTAGATTAAAATTGTCTCGATTCGCATATGCACTTCGCGAAATTAAAAAATCCACAGATATGAAGCTCTAGTCACCTACTACGCATATGCATACTCATGGTTGAGCTATGGTGTTATCTTATGGGGTAACAGTGTAGATGCCACTGCCGTATTTACAAGCCAAAAAAACTTTTGATAATTTTAGTTAATATAAGAAATACTGACTCGTGCAAGCCTCACTCCATTCGGATCAATATCCTTACTCTACCTAGCATATATATACTGGAAGCATGTAAATTTATTCGAAAATATCCTAATATGTATAAAAAAAGGGAAGACACAAAAACGCTTTGGTCTTTACTCACTAAGAACTTCTCGTAAAAACGAACTGATTCCACCTACATCCAGACTAGAATTACATCAATCAGGACCATTGACCTCCTCAATAAAAAAATATTACAAATTACCAGAAAATTTGAAAAATAAAACAAATAACTTTAGGTTAACCAAATTTTTAAAGGAATTATTATGTAAGAAATGTAATAATGTAATAATCTGTGACATTGTAATAACATTTACTTTAATATCTTTATAAAAGTTAAGCTTATTAATAATGTAAAGTACATTGTCCTTTGCGCAACGTGAAGCAAAGAAAATATACCAAATAAATAATGTATCTTATAAGAATAAAAATGTATAAACTCAAACTCAAACTGTGCCTAACCAAGGTCCTAATATTGTAATAAATTATAACGTGTCACGTGTAAAATATGAACATAAGGAATGCAATAAAGATTTGAATTTGAGTTTAACGTAAATAAAAAATATAAGGTATTATGAAATACTAATAGCGCATTATGTACAGCTTCATTATTAATTTATGATTAATTGTGGGTAATTTATTTTTTGCTTAAACATGTAGCTATGCAATTTAAAAATACTTTATTTAATATTTTGTTGAGACACTGATGTAAGGAATTTCATGTACAAAAATAATAAATTGTGCGTGTACTAGGTGTACACACGTAAGAAGTGAAACTTCTTTATGATCTTATTTTTCGAAAAATGATCTACTATATGCAACTTTACAGAAATTCGTTAAATTAGATAAAGTTTAACAAAAGGCTTTTATTATCATAGACATGAATACAAATATTTCATTTTACCTTATTACTACGAAGATTATTATAGAATTTCATTAATTGTAATAGAATTATTACTATCATTGAAAAACGTGACGATTTGCTACAAAATTTCTCCCATACGTCGATAAAGAAGTTTCATTCCAACGCCGATAAAGAAGTTTGACTTCAAAAAGCAACATGGAGCGTAACCGAAAAATGTGACGCGTAACGAAAAAATGTTACACTAAATTTTTTTCCAACCTCGATAAAGAAGTTTCACTTCAATAATGTTCCCATAAAATAACAGTAATTATGTCTTTAGTAGATAACAGAACAAACCATTCATCGAACACAACCATAACATTTACAACCAATTAATATACGATCAAAAACCACCTTATAAAGGTAAAAAATAAGTTACGAAAGATTTTTTGCGCGTGAAGAGCACTCTGTTGCTATGCAAATGTCAAATCTATGTAAACGGCTTTCGACCTTCGCTAGCCAGAGACACGTTTCGCTAATACTACAAGAGATGTATCCTATAATTTTAAGTAAATTACATCATTGGGTTTTTGAATCAATTATGTATTTTTTTGTAATACATGGCGTTTGATTGACAATTGTTCTTAGATATTATTTTAAGCAGCTCAATTCATAAGCCTTCATGACAGTTGGGTCCTGGATCGATCGATCAATTTCTAGAGAATATATTAAAAATAAATAATAGTTTAAAAAATCGAATTTCGATGGACGAAAAATATGGCACAGAGCGCCCCACGCTTTTTAAACGGTTTTATTTAGCTCACCCGTTTGTTCACAATAATACCAGTATTTTTTGTTCATTACCATTTTCAGCCTAAATTAGGAATTATTTTTCACTTTTTAGTTTGATGTGCTGTGTGTGTGTTTTTTAGTTTTTTAAAACTATTATTAATTTTTAGTTAAATTTTTTTTTCGGATTATTGCTTTTTAATCGATCTTTGACAGGTGCGCAAAATTTGAATTAAATCTGTCCGTATTAAGTGGGTCAAAATCGAGTCCGAAGGAGTCGGTTACATACATACATACAGGTGAAGCTAATATAAAGCGTGTAATAAAGCCGGAATTGTATACTGTATATTATTCACGAAATTATCCTATCCCATTTTTATAGTAAAAGTAGTATAATAGACGTTGTTGTATTTTCGTACCATTTGTTACTATTATTTTTTATTGTAGAACAGGGGGCAAACCGATAGAACGCTCATCTGATGTTAAGTGATACCGCTGCCCATGGACACTCAATGCCAGAGGGCTCGCGACTTTCCTTCAAGATCGTACCAAAGCTTAAAACGCAGGCAACGCACCCGCGAGCTTTTTGGCTTTGTGAATGTCTAGCGGGGCTTCACTTACCATTTGGTGAACCTCCAATCCTGCTCGTAGGTCTATAAGAAAAATAAACGTAGAATTAATGAATTAAATTTTTACAGGCTTACAATGGAGCGAGATCTTTTCACCCGTCGCATATCATGACGATTTCCAACCAGGCCATGTGGTGTTAATGTTAATAGTTGATACGATAATATACATGACTATCGCTTTGTATATTGAGAAAATACGTCCAGGCAATTATGGCGTGCCGTTGCCCTGGTACTTTCCATTTACGAAGAGCTTCTGGTTGCCGAATAAAACTAGGACCGCAGGTAAAAATACTTTTTATTTATTTACACTTTGTTACCTTACACAAAAACATATATATAAAAAAAGGGTGCGTGTACTATGTACGCGCGTAAGAAGTTATACTTCTTTGGCATTATTAAAAATAGTTTTGATTGCATGCAAATAATTAATTACAATTAAATAATCAAAGACTGGAAAAGGAGTCATTAAAGTCAATAAAGTTCAGTTTACATTTGAAAAATTAATTAAAAAAATTTATTATTATTCTCTTACATTAAACAAATAAAACACTATTTATCTTTAAAACATTTTTATTTCATTATACTATTTATTTTTAAGTGACTCTAATGTCTTCATCAGAATTCGGTTTGTAATTTTAAATTAATCATTACTTGGTTGTGCATCTACGAGGCTTCTCCAAAACTACTTGCTTTCTGCAACAAATAAGAGAATATTAATTTAAGCTCTGTCCATGCAAAACTTAAAATTTTTTATAATTCATATTATAAATTTTTTAACACATTTATATTAATATAATTATATAAATGTGTTAATAATATAATTTGTGCACATGCTACAGACCTGGATAGCAACTTTCTTTTATTCTATTTAGAGATAGAGATAATTTAAATATAATACCGGTGTCTTCCTTGTAGGTTTCTTTGGAGTTGTTTGGGGATTCTTGTTGTTCAGTTCGACATGATTTTCTTTAACCTTTCTTTAATCCTACAAAAAATGAAATTGTAAGTTATGTTGTCACTGTTGTGCACACCTTTGTTTGGCTTTTTAGTATTCAAGTTATGTCAAAACTGATTTATTACCTTGTCATTGTTGGCTTTATTTGCTTTTGGGATATCAATTGTTTCCAAAATGATTTTATTTGTAATAACCTGAAATATATAAATAACATCTATTAATTTAAGTATCATGGTGAGTGGTTCGCACTCAGGTATTAAGGTGTATTATACCCACTGCCATATAAGTGGGAATGGGCTCACTTCTGGCAGGACAGAGTTTCGGTACTACAAGTGCAACATGGATGTTTTGAGGTATTACAATATCTCTAACTACCCTGTAGGGGAATAAAGTAATGTTGTAAGCATATGCCTATGCTTGAAAGGTTGAACCTTGAACATCACCATACATCATATTTATAATTAACATTCCTACCTCGACACCATCACAATCAAATTCATTGAAATCTACTTCAAACCATTGTGTCTCGAGAAGGTGATGGTGGCTTTGTTCCACCTCCAGTTTTTGATGTTTCACGGCGATAAGATGACAACTCTTTTTTTGTATTCAATTTAGTGCACTTCCACTGATTCATCAATTGTTTTTGTCTCTTGTCCTTATATTTGCTAGATTAAATCTGATGTTTTGATTAAATAATGTGGTCATTTTTTTGAGATGCAGGTACTTATTAAAATGTTTACTTCTCTGTTATATCGCTCCAAGCCTTCATTTTCTCCTTATTAGTATTCGTGCTTAAATCTTTGTTCTCAATTATTGATATATAGGGTCGTAGAATATTTCTAAAAAGTTGCTGTAACAAACGCAATAAACAAAAGCAATGAATAATGGTTCATGTTTCAGTTTTAATCAACAATAATACTCGATAATACATACGGAAGTTAACCTCAATTGTATTGAAGCACCAGGAAGGTTAGCACAGTTTTTTCACAAATATTTTATATTATTTCACAAATATTTTGTATAATGAAAATAACTAGGTATATAAATATTAATTTTAAACAATAATTAAAACTCCTATATTTGTTTAAAAGGTAAATGTCATTGTCAGATGTCAATTGTCATGGTCATTCAAAATTCTTGTTCAGCTGCTAAGCTAGAATATGCGTGAAGTTAGCTTCACGCATATTCTATTTCTTTTACTTGTAGTTTGTCTTATTCCCATCTCGCTCGCGCACGCTATATCACACTGCCAATTTTGTGTCATAGGTGCGCGCGCAACGTAAAATTTCACTCTCATCAATTTTTCATAACGCGCCTAAAGAAGTACAACTTCAAAAAAAGCAGGTTACACAAGTTATAAGGCAACGGGCGGCCTTATCGCTAACAAGCGATTTCTTCCAGGCAACCCTAATATGGAACATTAAAAATGAAAAACCTACAGAGGGTAAAGTACAAGAAGTGCATAAATAATTAACAAAAAAAAACTCAAAATAACATGTAACTATAACTAAAATAAAATAAAGTAAAGTCTAAAGAAGAAATAAAAATAATAATAATTAAAAATATGCATAATCAAAAATTTTAAAGCTAATCCAAAGTCACAATTTATATATACAAGAAGCAGCTAGCAATTTAATATAGCAAGCAAGCAATTTATATATACGAGGCAGAAAAAAATGCTTTACTTTATTACTTTTGTGTTTGTTCTTAATTTAAAGTCCACTACTGTCTATATAATTGACTTATAAACTTAGCACTAATGTGTTTGTGCTAACTAGCACTCAGGCTTTTTAGTTTTTGATGTGACACATGTATAGCGGCGCGACGGGTAAAACCGATTGTTAACGACGTGTCGCCACGCTATACGATGTTATATATAGTCTATATGTAGTGTGTACTTCATACTTTGTAAGGAATTTTTGTATTTAATGAAAGTTGATTAAATAAAGTCATCATCATCATCAGTCATGTGGAAAAAAATAATTATTATTTTTTACTTCCTGTCGTTATATGATGCGTCCCGTGACGGGTCTCAATTATTTTAAGCACTTGTTGTTCCTAAAGCTACACAGAAAATAATTGGTTCTTGAGTCTACGCGCCAGCCTCGTGGTGTCAAAGAGCTGGGCAAGCTTCACGTGATCTTTAGCATGTTTTTGAATTTTTTGACGACGATTTCTGTGTTTAGGTCCTTGTGGATGTGCGTACCACGGAGCAGGACGTTTGCTCATTATTTATTCTAATTAAATTATTATTCTGTTCCCAAACAAATTTAGCGGGAACTATTATGTATGTCAAATCCAATACGTTTCTGAATAAAGACTTGTTTGTTCGATTGTATGAGTTCTTTGTTGATACCTTTACGAGATAATTAATTAAGTACGATTCTAATAAATCAGACCTATTTTATGAACATGCAATAAATACATAAGGTTAGTTTGTTAGTAATAATAATAATCTAGTGGCTCTATCGTTAAAGTGGGTATATCGGTCTTGATCTCAGATTGCATCCGATTCTTTGTTCATTTTAATTTTTAAGCACGTGATCAGTCTTCCGTTTGACACATGTCGTCGATTTTTGGATTTGACAGCTCGGTTTTATCACGATTTTTTCCATCACAAACGAGTGTAAGATGCGGGCAGAAAGTCAATTTTTGCACGGCCGGAGATCGAACCTACGACCTCAGGGATGACTCGCTAAACTAACCTAACACTGCTGCTCAGCTTGTTGGTACTTTTTTCTATTATTAAACTTTTTCTGGACTTAGAGGCTAGGAGACGCTATTCAAGATTTTCTACAAAATATGTTAATTTAGAGGGCAAATGTCTCTATATTTTTTTTGTATTACTAATATTAATAAAAAAGTGGAATAAAAAAAAATAAAAAAAAGTTTAAATATATCTTTCCAGGGATAACATTAAAGGATGGTATCGATCAAGAGTACAAAAATGCGTTGTTGAAGGTAGTTCACGACGAAGAGCCAAAAGGTGTACCAATGGGTATAAATATAGAGGTATGTATGAAATACACTAAAATATAATTATTTTGAAAAGAAAACCTCACAATTGAATTTTAGGCTTTTAATCGCATTTATTATACTATACCATATCTGTACTAATATTATAAACAAGAAAACTCTCTATATACAAAATAAACTCCAAAATTACTATACTGATTTCAAGCACTATGAGAATGCTGTGCCCCTGTAATATAGGCTATGATTAGCTAGCCCTGGGAAGCCGGGACATGTTTTTATTTTATTCACACTTCATTGGACAACACAAACATTGCACAGTGCAAAGGGCGGACTTTTCAATAAGCAATCTCTTCCAAGCATAAATACGACGTAATATGTAACACTGAATTGGAAGGGACTCAAAAGATTTCGGTGATTCATATTTTTAATACAATTAAATTGTTAGTAAAGTATATGATAAAAGAACTTTATCACGTAACTTGAAATGCTATAAAAAAATATAAAAATGAACTCAGATTACAAACATTGATTGATGCTAAAATTAGCAGCTCAAAGTTAAACCAAGGCCAAATCTTAACGTCAATGAACCCCACGTGTTCAAGATGCACTTTTTGCTTCGATTTGCATTCGCTGTCATTAAAATAAAATGCCATTCATGTTTCTTTTTCTTTAGTGAAGTTTATATTTCTGTAATGAACTTTAAAATAAAACAGGCGTGAAATTGTAAACCTTTGAAATCACAAAGAAACTGTGAGCTGTTTTTGCATAATATTCAATCCTGCTACGGCTTTACACTATGTACTTTTCTGTGCAATTAATAATTGCTACGTTTAAAGACCTAAATATAGTCGACCTCGGTCTAACGTCTAGTCTATAAAATAATCAAAGACACTGTTTTAATAACAGGTCAAAATCAAAGACATCGCCAGCGCCATTATTACCTTTCATGTACTATATCTATATATATAAAAGGAAAATGGTCTTCGTTTGAGGCTTCTTCACGCCTAAACCACTGATCGTATCGACATGAAACTACTGCCATTCGATGCGAATTTTTTTTATTGCTGTTTTACTTTTATGAAAATTTATACATCGGACTTCACCGCGGAAACATTCGGGGAGGCTTCCTAGAACCTCAAAACGTCAACATCTGTTAAAAACTCGATTTTCGAAAATTTTCAATTTTCTTAGCGGGAAGTTAAAAAGAAGAATAATAAAAATATGAAAAATAATAATAATGAAACATAAAATTTTATTTATTTCCTATTTTAATTCGCCCAGCAAAGCGGGCGGGAAACAGCTAGTATATTATATACTTATTGAGGCATTGACATAGTCTAGTATGAGTAGAACACCTGCGTTGTGTGTCTAGACTCTAGACCATTCCGTGGTATACAAAAAAAAACTATACAAATTAAATCAGTAAGTCGTAAGAACAGAAATGTCAAGGTTTTTGAACAAAATTGTATCCGCGAATAGATCTGCATAGATAATATCTTGGATGTGATTAATTATTGAGCTGCAAGCTTGAGTTTAAGCATAAATTCGCAAAAAAGTTATAAGGTTTTGGTTTTGCTATTTATTAACAATAATATTTTTTTTATATTCATATACTTAATTTTATAAACATAAGTATCAATCACTGAATTGGAAAGCACTCAAAAGATTTAAGTGATTTATATTTTTAATACATTTAAACTTTTAGTAAAGTATATGATAAAAGAACTTTATCACATATTTTGAAATGCTATAAAAGGATATAAAAATGAACTCAGATTACAAACATTAAATTGATGCTAATTAATTACGATTTAAAATGTTGTTATTAGTAATATGTCAGTCATCTGTGGATATGGGCCCCTCTTGCGTAAAGGCTTCCAACCCTTTCCAGATGACTCTATCTTTGCTAATAGTCTGCCAGTCTTTTCCTGCTATTTCTATCATGTCATAAGCCCACCTACTTTTTGCCCTGCCCCCTCTTCTTTTCCCGGATGGTCGGTTCCATTGTCTTTAATGTCCATTTGTTGTCTAGGTATCCTATTAATGAATAATCATAATTTAATTTCAGAACCTCACAAAAGTATACAAAGGTCGGAAGAAAGCTGTGGATAATTTAAATCTACGAATGTATGAAAATGAAATTACGGTGTTGTTAGGACATAATGGAGCTGGAAAAACCACTACAATATCGATGCTTACAGGTGAGCAATAGTGTATTAAAAATTAATTAACTTATTTAATTTTAATTTAATTCGTATTTTAATGTATAATTAATGTTTGTGAAGGAAACTAGACGGAAGGTATGGGTAAACATTTCTTTGATTTATATTTTGAAAGGAATCGAACTCAGAATCTTTTTGTAAAAAGCTCGCTTTTGGTGAACACAAAGGCGATGAACCCTAAAGGATATACTTTCCCCAAAATCCCATTTTGAAATAAAATGACACAAACATAAATTGAAATGCCCGAATGCCCGTTTTTTTATTTATCTGCTGACTAAAGTACGCATTGACCTCGTAAACGTTGCCTATCTAATACCTTCGAACATTTTAGATGATTTTGAATCTTCACACCTTGTGTTACGGTCTTAATTCGCTTATATATTGTGTTTGACAATGTCTCGTAAAATAGCATCTAATTGTGATAAAACAAGGCTTTTTTCGTTTAACACGAACCATTGCAGTTGAATTTAGCTAATTTTGGAAATATAATTATATTAATCAATTGTACTATAATTTATTATCAATTAGATGGAAGCGATAAATAAATACGATAACCATCTTATTAATGAAAATCGAGTTAGTACTGATAATAATGTTTGTTTATTGATAACAAACGTGTTTATTATGTCATAATCCGATGTAATAAAATATGCATGGTGCATTGACATCTTATCGGCGATATTATATAAGAACTGTTAATAAATAACTAAGATAGTATTCAATTTCGGAATCGGGTATAAAGAGTTAATTGACTCCATACAAATATATTTTTGTAATGTTTGTTTCTCTGTAATATGTTTTGAATATCTTGTTATTTTATTTTTAACATTATATATAGACACCTTATGTATCCTACATTTTAATAAATTTTCAAATCTTTTTTGTTGGCGTTCATGAGTGTACTTGGTTACCTATATGTATAAAGTTACTTTGAGTTTGTGTATATGTTAGAATCTGAAAAGACATACGCTTAATACTGTACAAATATTTTGCAGTCTTTTAACGTACTCTTTCGTCTCTTTACGCTGTGATGTAAAGAGATAATGAGTACTTTATTTAAAACGGTGCCATACTGATTTGATTTTTTATGAATAAACCTAAATGTTTTAAAATATATGAAGTTATCGTTACATGAATGAATGTCTCTTATAGGTATGGTACCGCCCACTTCCGGTACAGCTACTATAAACGGATATAACATTGTGAGTGAAACTGAACTCGCAAGAAAATCACTCGGTCTCTGCCCACAACATAATGTGCTCTTCCCGGATCTGACCGTTGCCGAACATATTGTCTTCTATTCGAGGCTAAAAGGCGTGCAGAAGTCGAAAATAAATGACGAAGTCAATCATTTCCTTAAGTTGTTGGAGTTGGAAGAAAAGGTAACCTATAAATCTATTATCTGATAAAAAAAAATTCTATTTGAAGGCCCAAAACACAAACTTGTTGTACACTTGAAGATTCTCTTTGTATAGTATATTTTGTTTGGCTACATAATATTACGCTACGGCCATATAAAAGTATATAATACAGCAAGGCATAGCTAATATAGATTCATAAAACTTTCCTTTACCTAGAGTTTTCTACATCCTATTAGACTTATTTACTAGTTAAGGGTCCTTAATTTGGACAAAAGCTCTCTGGATTCATTACTTACTTTAATGATTACAATGGTGATTACAAGGGTTCGATTTTTTAACGTCTTTTCTGATTATTTTCTTTTCATCTTTTCTAAGATAAGCACATGTTCACCCTTGCGTACTTAAGGTACCAAATAGAAACCATAGCATACTAACTTTTATTGAGCGATTTAACCTTCGCCGTGTTACATATGTAGCCATTAGAAGAACAATCAAAATTTAATTTCAATTTCAAATGATTATACTAAACTTATGTTGCATCAAAGTCAAATTAAGAGCTGCTTTTTGTTATTAACACACAATTACAATTATTTGATTGTAGAGAGATGTACAGTCAGCACATTTATCGGGAGGTCAGAAAAGGCGGTTGTCCGTTGGCGCTGCTATGTGTGGATCATCAAGGGTTGTGTTGTTAGATGAACCCACTTCCGGATTGGACCCAGCCGCGAGGAGATCGCTGTGGGATCTCTTACAGAAAGAGAAAAAAGGTAATACACGTATAACATATACTACTTAGAAACACGATTAGTGAGTGATTGGTGAACCAAGGACAGTCAAGCGTGATGATCCTAAATTTTTCTGGAGTAGAGTCTTTGCGGAAAGGGAATCGCCGTGGCAGTTATCCGAAGTTATATAAATTATATTTGCTAATTTATTATTTTAATTTAATAATTGCTAATTCAGCAAAATTATATATTCCAAATTCTATTTTTTACAGCTACTCGTGCATTTGTTTTTCGAAACCCATGATTCATTTCATTTTCCCGTTTTTATTTCTTTGCGTCACTCTATACAATGGAAAACATGACATATCGTGTTATTTACGAGTAAGAGTATAATATAACAGTCTTGATAACATGAAGAAAGGTATTTTAGCAGTGCTACAACTTCAAACACCAAGACAGTGCTCCTAACGTACACTAGTACCGTTCTAGCGGTTGCGATGTTGATTGGCTTTTCCACAGATTATAATGTGTATTTTTGTAACCTCTTTGCTTTAAAATTAAAAGTCGTTGATTTCATGGCTAATACTAAATATCAAATATTCCTCCTAGGGCGAACGATAATTCTTACTACACATTTTATGGACGAAGCTGACGTGCTAGGTGACCGCATAGCTATAATGTCTGGGGGTAAACTCCAATGTGTGGGAACACCATATTTCCTTAAGAAGCATTATGGTATAGGTTATAAGATGACCATAGTGAAGCAAGAGGATTGTAACGTGCAAAATGTTACCAGTTTTTTGAGAAATTACGTCCCGGATATAAGGGAAAATACGAATATAGGTATGTTTTATAACATCTATAGTCACACAGGTTTAATTTAATACAAACAATAAATTAAAAAAAATATGTGTATTACAATTTTTTAAGTATATATATCGACGGGTAAATTTGTATGACGCATTTTCTATAGGTTCGGAATTAACTTACATACTACCTAATGAGCATGTCAGCAAATTTCCTGAAATGTTAAAGAAATTTGAAGAAGAAAGGAGTTCCTTGAGGGTATCGAGTTATGGCCTTTCTGTCACGAGCCTCGAAGAAGTTTTTATGAAGTGAGTTAATAAAAAAAAAAGTTGACAAACGTGTTATTTCTGTTCCAACTATCCAATATAGTCTGAAGATAAAATATTTACTTCGTGTTTATATTAACAATTGATAATAAATTCGTTCTAGGTGACAAAAATATCGTAAATTTCGTCAATAATAATTCTATTTAGTATTTACAACTAAAATAAGCATAGTAACTGACAAATATTTTGTTGGACGTCATTAATCAAATCAATGTGTCCGTTTCCCGTCTTCATTACCTTAAATAATACCGTGATTTAAGTTTTTGGTTGTCGTCGTAATTGACAGTAAATCAAAAATGTCTCAGTCGATATGTCTTTAGACACATTTTTATTGATAAACTTAATGTTTTACATATCTTATACACATAAAAGTTTTACCAATACCAAAACGATAGTAATATTCATATATATTGATTTTAGAGCATGGTTGGCCTAGTGCCTTCAGCTTGCGACTCTCATCCCTGAGGACGTAGGTTCGATCCCCAGCTGTGGACCAATGGAATTCGACCTCGAACGGTGAAGGAAAACATCGTGAGGAAACCGACATATCTTAGACCCAAAAAGTCGACGGCGTGTGTCAGGCACTGGAGGCTGATCACCTACTTGCCTATTAGATTTAAATATGATCAAGAAACAGATTCAGAAATCTGAGGCCAAAACCTAAAGTGGTTGTAGCGCCACTGATTTATTTTTATTGGTAAAGCTTTATTTACTTTACGAGATGCGAGCATCCAAATGTTTTAATGACAACTAAATTTGCTGAAAACTTATTGAAATAATCTTTAAGTCAGCCACTGTCCATGCAGTCACTCCAAACATCGTGCTATGCAATTGATTTAATAATTTAAAGACGTTTCAAATCAATCACCCGTAAATAAAGACGCTGTTACAATTATATATTTTCAGAGCCGGTGCCGAGGACCATGATGTGATAACGGTTCAGAAAAATAACTATACGAATCACAATAATAGTGTAATTGTCCCCATCGAGAATAATCGAAATCACTTTGGTAAGTTTATGCGAGAAACAAAAAAAAATAGTTCAAGTATTTGTGTCTGAATTGTATTTGTTGAATAACTTGCTTTTCTTTTGAATACGATGATAAAATTGATACATATGAAGTATAATCAGTATTAATAAAATTTGCTTATAAAAGTATTTTAATATAAATAAATAGATACATTTAACTGTCTAAATTATGTTTCACTATTGTAAACTAAATTTTCTGTAAAAATTGTAATAAAATATATAAATAATTATAAAGTTATAAGTTGCATTGTTTTACCCTCTGTAGTAGATATAGTTTTTAAATGTAGCATTTTTTGTGCTGGTACTTCGAATATTCAATAAAAATCATATATAAAAATTGTCTTTCAGCAAACAACGAGCCGTTACAAAAAGTAAAAGGCGCAAAATTACTAAGAAATCACATAAAAGCGATGTTCCTCAAACTAGCATATAATTCTATGAGAAATAAACTCTCAGCCTTCATACAGATCGTAACACCGATTATAAATATAACTATATCGGTTATTATAGCCCGGTCATGGCGGTTTATAACCAACCTACCTCCCTTAGAGTTAACTTTAACTAGTGGTTTTAAGAATACGGAGACACTTATATCTGAAGGGGTTAATTTGACGGAAGCAAGCGTCGAGAGAAGGACTATGATGGCTTATATGGATTTTTTTAAATCGTCAACGTATCCGAATATGGTGCTTAATGATATCGGAACTATGGACATTGGGAAGTTTTATTTAAAATTGGTAAGTATTATTACTTAACATGCACGAAGGATAGTTTAAAGTTCTGCGTCACAACAACTAGATACGTAATAAATATCTCGTGCACATTTAGAATGTTACAAAATTGTTTCATGCAAAAGTATTAATTTGTACAATTACAACATTGTTAAATATTTATTATGTTTGCTTAAAATTATAAAATTGTACTTAGACGATGTTTTTTTAAGCTATTGCATAGATTTTATCTTGGGCTTTGAGCGCGGTGACCCAATCAAGAAATTCCGTAACGAAAATAACCTGACACACGATGACGTAATATACTAACGAACGACAGAACGCACTGCGTATTCACAGCTCTCTGACGAGATCGGTGATGTAGCTTAAGCGCGACCGGTGCAGCTTGTACGCGTTAGAGCGAGACGGACTATATAGGCGTGTTAGTCTGAGTCTGGTAGAGTGGTAGATTGAATTAATATCAAAGGAAAAAAATACCGCATAAATATAAAATAAATAAATAATTAATTATAATTGCATAAGTTGATAAAAAAAATGCTGTGCAATAGCTTTACCGCGGCAGTCCCCGAGTGCGACACGCTTTTATTATAAAGGTTAGTTTTTTTTTGAAGAAATAACACAAGAAGAAATAAAAAGATAAACTTTAAATAAAGATTAGAAGAGAAATAAAGATTTACTTATTTTCAACGCATTTAACATCAATCGACTCCCCAGCCCCTTTGTTAACAGACTTAAAAGTAAAGGAGGAAGTTATCGATTCGATGAAATTTTAATGTATAATAATGGGTAATTGATATAAATTATACAGCTTTAAAGTTATACAATTGGTCCAGCTATAGATATTATATTTATACGGCATATTCTATAGAAATACTTCTTTCGCATGGGGCAGGCATATTTGAAGTAAATTGCTAATTTTATATAATTTTAAATCATTGTTTCGGGAATGTAATCCAAGACGGAGTTACAAGCACAGAAGAAGTAGAATTTAATGTTTATTTATTTATTTACAACTCATGTATGGCAAAATTTTTGAACTAAAATATTGTATAACTATTGTAGAATTATTGAAGTTATACTTCTTTAGGCGCGTTATGAAAAATTGATGAGAGTGAAATTTTACGATGCGCGCGCACCGTGACACAAAATTAACAGAATTAAGTTAGTGGCGCATGTTGGCACGCACGCCGCCTCTGTTCACTGTGTATTTATATTTATGATATTTATCCACATGCTTTGAGTTTCTACATTTTAAACACGTGTTTTCATTTTGTTTTCATTATACAAGTGCGAATTTTTTATGTGCGTCTGAATTATAATCAGAAGTGATTTAAATCAATACTAATTAAAATTAGAAAATAATAATAAATATTATATTAATAAATACTTATTTATTTAATTTTTCAAATGTAAACTGAACTTCATTGACTATAATGACTCCTTTTCCAGTCTTTGATTATTTAATTGTAATTAATTATTTGCATGCAATCAAAAACTATTTTTAATAATGCCAAAGAAGTATAACTTCTTACGCGCGTACATAAGTACACGCACCCTTTTTTTTATTTTTATAAAATTACCTTTATTTTACGCTTCACAAATGGGTCGTTCTCCGGCAAATAGTCGAGAAAACTATTAAGCTATATGGTTAAATATAAATACTAATGCAAAGATTGTCCAATTAATAAACTATAATCATTAAACATTTTCAGAGCGAATCGAACCCCGCCCGTATACGTTACGAAAACTTAATAGGCGCTACGTTCGCGCCGAATCGCATCACAGCTTGGTTCAGTAATTATGGGTATCACGACTCGGCCATATCACTTTCCTTGGCTAACAATGCGCTGATGAATGCTCTATCGCCCGGTTCCTCTTTACGGGTTATTAACTATCCCTTGCCGTATTCCATTGAGAATCTTGTGAGTACAGTTATTTTATACCATGATTGTAGGAGCACCGTTAGCCTTAGTGTGTGAGCGAAAAAAGAACCGCCTTTATTGTTGTTGACACTGTTACGTCATTATAGTTCGATACTAATCATCTTGAATAAAATATTTTTTTTATAAATTGTGTGAATAAATGAGTAAAGAGTATTTTATAGCTGTCTTTCCGCATGGACACTAATAATCTAAGACGTAGTAGAAAATGTAAATCGGCGAACATTTATCATTTATATGTGTGTACCAATTATGACAATATATGCAAAATATGCAATGTGATACTTTCGAGATGTTAATCTGAAATTATTCTTGTTTTTCATTGCAATTTTTAAATCTTTCTCTCTCAAGAAAAATGTCGAATTGCTTTGAGTTTTGAGCTTAACAAAATATTTTGCGATCTATTTTTATTTGTATATATACGAAACCACGTACATACGGAGTCAGTGAATACAGTGGAAGGAGGGAGTCTGTGGATTTGGAAATACGGCAGTCATCTCTTAAGACCTGGCATATGTCAGGCATACAAAATTATCAAGGAAACAGATACACTACTTATAAAAATATAAAGCGCCGTTTTTGTAATGTAACCTTCCAAAGTGGACACATTTTTGAGTTTTTTTTAGTTTTAATCAGCCTTTACGAAACATTTGTTTCACTTGATTGGTAGGTACGCATCGCAGTGGTTCATCAATACTTTAATTTCAGGTTAGAATTCTAGCATCGGGTAGCAGTTTAGGATTCCAGTTCGCGTTCAACATAGGGTTCTGTATGGCGTTTGTCACTGCGTTCCTTGTGTTATTTGTTATAAAGGTTAGTTTCAAGTGCATTGGTTTTAATACAATTATAATTTTATTAATCAACAATTATTGTCAATTACATTAAATATTTTAGTAAGAACCATTATTTAAAAGCTACTTTAGAAAACTATTTAAAAAAAGTACAATGATGTGTTTAGTTACCAATAAACCGTATAATTTACTTATATTACTACTACTAATTTACTTATATTAAATACTTACGTAAGATACTCATTCATCTCAGTAAATAAGTTGTTAATGTGTTCGGCGTTGGTGATCGGAAAAACTAAATCACGAAAAACTAATAAAACTTTGTAAAAAGTAAAATAAACAAATAGATACCTATTATCACATTATATCGTTTCAACAAATCTGAATTACAAATAAAACTAAACATTTTAAATAACTCTAAAGAATTTTTATACCATTAACTTTATTGCAGGCCGATTAAACTTAGAATTCTGATGCTTTGCAAATGCGTCTTTAACTTTGTTAGGGTAAATTTTTTAACGCACTGGATATTTAATTTGATTTAATATAGGAACGGGTTAGCGGCGCCAAACTCCTTCAGCGTATATCTGGAGTAAGACCTGGCGTGCTCTGGACGTGTTCTTTCATCTGGGACTGGTTCTGGATGCTGTGCGTCTACATGACGATAGTTCTCACGCTTGCGTTCTTCCAGGAATCAACGCTGTCTACTCCGGAAGAGTTGGGTATGTTGATCTAAACTAACAGTTTAAAACAGATTTTTATGTATAGATTTTATGGTAGAAAAATATAAAAACAGCAAATATATTAAAATGACTATAATTTAATTAAAATTATTTAATAATTAACTAAACATAGTATTGGGAATATTTGTCGAATCATGTCAAATGACAAAACAATTTCAAGCATAACCGTTTCTATGTTCAACAGTATGAGTAACTGTCGTCATGATTTTCGCATTATATTGGCTTTAAAGCTATCGGAAAACAGTCAACCTGACGCAGCTTGCCTAATTCAACAATAATTAAAAGACGTTTTGGTTGTGATAAAGAGAAATTATAATGAAATTTCGAAACATGTTATTAAAATAGACAACATACTCACGATTAAATTCCCTTTATGTACGCGAAATTCATTTTTGAGTCCAAATAATATATACAGAGCAGGCTTGCGCGTGCGCCTCTCAACCCTCGTGCTTTTTATGACGACGGACTTTTCTTTCTGTGTGACACGCGCTAAAGGAAAATATAGTGAGAAAACTGGCATTCCTTCGACCTAACTAGTCGACGGCGTGTGTCAGGCACTAATCACCATCATGCCTATTAAGAAAAATAATCAAGCTATCCGAAAAAATTGTATAAAAATGAAATAATTACTGTTGTTTCAGGCAGAGTCCTTCTGGTACTAGTGGTGTTTTCGTTGGCGACGATACCGCTACATTACTTGGCGTCCTTCTTTTTCGAAGCTTCGGCAACTGGTTTCTCGAAAATGTGCTTTGTCAACATATTTTCAGGTAATTCTCTGACTTTACTTATAACATTTTGCTTAAAATGTAGATTTAAATTCTAGTTTTAAAAAAAGTGGAAGGTTTTTTACTAAATAGCGTACTCTTGCTGACTTACGCCTGAACCCAATAATCAATCCACAATATCAGATTGAAAATAATCTGAGATCAGACTGTGACAGTCGATCGATCTCCTATCTGCATCCCAATAACCAAACCCTACGAAGACAATCAATTTTTGGCTAAATGCTCTTTGTCGTTCGATTTTACCGAGTTTTCACGCATATTTGATAATCAATGTAAACCAAAAATGTTGAAATCGAGCTTTCGTCAACTGTCATTTTCATACAAAGGACTATCCACAGACACCGATACGACCTCCCATGGATAGGTTGTATCGACAGATGGCTATTACAATCCGTCGATTGTTTATTGGCACACTTATTTCAACATTTGGATTAAGATTACTATCTCATGGATTATGGATTGAGATAGGTTATTGGGTTCGGGTGTTAAAGAAGAATGAAATAAATAGACTTGAGAGATAAGGCAGGCAATTACTTAGAATAAAGTCCTAACCCTTTAAACGGGAAATTTACAAATGCGTTTATTACCTTTATAGGTCTTTTATGAAAGAATTTTATTATCTAAAATAACTTTCAGGTTGTATGCCGTTTCTAATAACAGAAGTTTTGCGTTTGCCTGAATTTGGTAGCCCGTACTACGCGGGAATATTCGACTGGGTGTTCGCGCCTTTACCGCTTTATTGCATGAGCAGAAGTTTCAAGTAAGTTTTGTAGGCATTTAGATTTTATTAGCACTTTTAGGTAGATTAAGCGAGCGAACTTCTTCTAGCCTTCCTTTTGAACTCATATGAAATGTTACGTAAGCCATAAACCATGTTAGCAAGGAAGTAATGGATATCGGAAAACAAGCTGAAGGATGCCTATTCCCAGGATGGGGTTCCAACTCTAAACCATTCCAACCAAATGCGAACTTAATATTTTAATTTTAATTCTTAAGTCATTTTGTGTTATGTTGCAAATATCTGTTTCTTAATAAGCTTGGATATACAATAAAGGCTAAATAATAAACCCTAGGCCACAACCATGAGCTGAACATAAAGCAAATACAGAGAAACATTTATATTATTTATAACAAATTTATTTATAGAAAACACTTTTTTACCGGATTGAAGTTATGTATTATTATAAATTTACAAGAATTTTACATAATTATAAATTTTCCGACTTTTCGCGTGCTTTACAGCGTGCGTGGTCACGGTGACTGAAGACAAAAGGTGTTGAATGTCAAAAAGTATCACAGCTGTAGAAAAAGTTGTATTATCTGTATTTATTTCTCCGGAGTTGGTATCGACTAAAAGATCCTCCTTCGTTTAAATTGATTTAAATGTGTAAAAGTTATGTCAATAAAAGACAATACTAAATTTATTTATACACGCACCTCTATTATAGACGCTATGACAAATATCGTATATGTTACGTATATAATCGTAAGTAATATCCTGCAGGGACATGAGCCTGTCATCATTCAAGATGCTGATATGTGACGGCCTTTGTACGCAACTGGAGCTTCAGAATTGTACGAGGCAATCGCTGTGCACGCAAATTAACATGACCGTGTGTTGTAGTACGTGAGTCTTATTTACATTTTTGAAAATTTAGTTTTTTTTTAGATTTAAATCAACTTGTATTAAAGCCGCGTTTCCATTATGCAATTGACTTGCATACAAGTTGCAAGTTACATGTAATTAGATTCAAAGACACACAACACTCAAGTCAGCTGCATTTGCACGCAAGTTGCAAGCGCTCCTCTATAGAGGGTAGTGTGCAGGATTACCTTGTAAAAATTAATGCTAAGTGGGATACAGAGAAAACAATAATATTTATAATTAAATTTTTTGGAGTTATACTACTTTAGGCGCGTTATGAAAAATTGATGAGAGTGAAATTTTACGATGCACGCGCACTGTGACACAAAATTAACAGAATGAAGTTGCCCAAGGAAGATGCTACGGCATTGGACATAATTTAAAAACAACATTCGAATAATAATAGAATTTATGTTACACTTAATGTAAGAGAATAATAATAAATATTTATTTATTTAATTTTCCAAATGTAAACTGAACTTTATTGACTATAATGACTCCTTTTCCAGTCTTTGATTATTTAATTGTAATTAATTATTTGCATGCAATCAAAAACTATTTTTAATAATGCCAAAGAAGTATAACTTCTTACGCGCGTACATAAGTACACGCACCCTTTTTTTTAATATTTACCACAGCCCGTCTTCTACTCATGATAAACACTGTACAGCTAGATGAACTAACTTGTACGCCACTAAAATCTTGTATGCAACCTGCAAGTTGCACGAAATCGTGTTTCCAATTCAAGTCACTTGCACACAGTGTGACGTCATACATGCATGCAAGTACTTGCATAATGGAAACCTAGTCGGCATTATCACTGACTACGATCGCTGAAACTCGAAATCGAGTTCAATATAATCTGGATTTCGATGTATTTGTATAGATTTTTCTTATGCTACTTTCACGCCATAAAATATATCAAACTCAAGTCCGTTGGCCGATTCTGCCCTTCCTCGTCCCACTCTTGACCATACTTTGCCTTCAACCAGTTTTATTCCATCTTCCCTTCGATGTCTAAATATACTTATGATACTTACTTTGGATTTTATAATACTCCTTATGAAGAGGTTAATTGATAGAAATATAATTTATGTTTTCAGACCTGGATGAAAATACGTTTTTGAAATGGGAAGAGCCCGGAATCGGACGTTATCTATTTATGATGTCGTTGGTTGGTGTCATAGCATTCTCAGTTCTGCTTATCAAAGAGTACGAGGTGATTAATAAGGTAAGGATAACATCCAAATTCGTGTTAAGTAGAGGTTTTTTTAATAAAAATCTCTTTTAAAAAATATTACAAGAAGAATCAGGTCTTTAAATTCTTAAAAGACCTTTTTGCATCGAAGGTTTTTAAAATTATAAAAAGTAATATTAGAGAGTACTACATACTAACAAAACTCTATTACTTTCAAAAATATTTAATTTTATTTGTTTACTAGCAGACCGGCCAAGCGTTGCTGTGGCTAAGGTTTTTGTTATATTACATAGTAGCAAACTATTCAAGGGAAACGGTAGAAGAACACCAGTCATGGGGACCACCATGCTTTTTTGGTGGTTATGCCATTAAATTGTAGCTTATGTAATAATTTTGCGGGTATAAATTGAGATATTAGCTATCCTATATTTTAAGTTAGATCAAACTGCACACGGTGTGCAAATTTGATTGAAATCGGCTCGGTAGTTTAGGAGTCCATAGCGGACAAACAACGTGACACGTAATTTATATATATTAAGATTTATATCATCACGCCTTTTTCCCGAAAGGGGGGGGAAGCAGAGACTAAGGATTGACTTGCTACGGTCCTGACACCTCTCTTGCTTCATCCACTTTCATGACATTCACTATGCATCCTCGTCGGTTATGGGTATAACTTGTTCCTTCTCTAGTACGTCCTGGATTTGGCCTAGGCATGTACGAGAAGGCCTACCCAAGCCGACTTCACCATCCACAGTTGCCTTGTTCATTAACTCAATCTCAAATTAGTGAATTAATACCGAAATTAATGGCATTCAATTAATTTCGTGACATTATTTTTACCGACAGTTTCACGTGTACTTCATTATTTTCGCAATACATGCATTCATTTCATGAATGCAAATGAGTTTCGTGCAATGCGCGATTTTTTGGTGAAATTAGTTTCATGCAACTTATTTCATGATGGAGATGCTACGTGAAACTAGTGTCGCGAAAGTGCCTGTGCTGTGCGGACGTGTGTATTTTGATGCTAATACATGATGACACACTGAATTCTTATGATAAAACTATTTTCAGTTGCTAAAAAACGCAGCATTTTAAGTTTATAGAGAAGCATCTCTTTAGCTACATTGAATATAGAAAAATAATGCATTGATGCTGATGGGGCCATGGTTACTGCGAAATAATCGTCAAATATATAAAAAGCTTTATTGTTTGATTTACGTTTAACGAGAGTTTTGAATTTACTCATTGATAATTCTCTAATTTCGCTTGGGCTTTTGTTATAAAAACGAATACAATTTCCATATAAGGAGTGGTTTATCTTCTGGAGTCTGGTTGAACGTACACTTAGATAAGTTCTGTTTCGAGTATTATACTAGTGAATGTCACCATTTGTTTTAAAATCGCTACATAATAAATATATTTTTTCCTAGATATTCTACTCGGAGACCCCTTACCGGCCATTACCAATAAGGTCGGACGAAGATAGTGACGTGGCAGCAGAAAGACACACGGTACAACAGCTTACTAAACCAGAATTGGCTCAGCATAGTCTGATCTGCAAAGACCTCACTAAGTACTATAAGGAGTTTCTCGCTGTTAATAGACTGACTTTTGGTAAGTTGACATATGTACGCGAGTTTCACTGATATCTGAATCTGCCGCAATTATTGTTCTCGGAAACCAATCTTAGAACGTCGATTTAATATAAAATAATCAAAGGCAAAGATAAAATAATATTTTATAATCAAACTCGATAACTAATTTATATAAACCGTATACGTCAATTTAAATTAATAATGTACATTATTAGCGATTCAGTTTGCTTTTGTCAATCCTGGTCGTTCACACAAACTAAAATCGTCGTGGTTAATTCGGTAATATTTTTAGAAGTACCCGACTTGCCTCTAAGGAATTTATGAGAAATAATTAACGAACATCTAGAAATCTGAATTAAGAACGCCATTGGATTATAGCTTGTATGATATTTGATTTATTTTTACAGCGGTGCGTAAAGGCGAATGTTTCGGATTATTAGGCATCAATGGAGCGGGTAAAACCAGTACGTTCCGTATGGCAACGGGTGACACGCATCTCAGTTCGGGTGACGTATACGTACACGGAATGTCCGTTAAGACGCAAATACGGGACGTGCACGCAAATATGGGTAAGGGGTCTTTAAAGAAGTAAACAATTCTGTGTTTTTTCCTGTTTAGTATGGGATTAATCAATGTTATTTCAGGGGTAATCGAAATCAGGACGTCCACTAGCATCTGATTTTGTACTTATGATTAAGGCATGATTCTTTTATTATCTTTTTCAAAGTCACATGAATTTTATCATCATAATGTTCAAACATCCATAACTATACTCTGCTTTTTCATTCCGTAGAATTCTGATATTTCATTAGTGTTGCTACTAAAAAAATTCTCCACCGAAAAAGGGACAAATTTTACTTATTTGAAGGCAATAAAAATAATGCTACGTATTTTTTATGTTTTACCTACAAAAACGTAAATCTAAATATTTACGTACATACTCAAGTGACCTGATACAAAAATAAGAAATATTTCAATATCACGAACAATATATTGAATTAACTTTAATAACTTTATTTTATTCTTTAGCTGGCATCACTGCCTGCCTGCCAGGTTTAGTAAACCTTTTTAAAATGTTATCTGTACTTGTGCGTTTTTTACTGTTTGTGATGAAAAGGAACGTAATTACCATTCGCCGTTAAACCACTTTTAATGTGGAGCACCGCACTTAATAAAATGGATACATTAACTAACAATAAAATGTATGTATAGACTCAGATATTCAGACTCGTATTGAAATTGAAAAATGTGCCCGGCCAAAAAGATTTGCCATCTCAAACACGCAAAAAATGATAGCTGTTAGAATTCTACGAAATTAAAAATCAGAGTATATAGTATTTCTTGCATTAATCAATAAGTATTGCTTTAAAATTTATATGCTTATATATATTGTAATATGTCGTACGTATTTTTCAAAATAAATTAGGAAATATATTACATAATACGTATATTATAGGTTACTGCCCGCAATTCGATGCATTACTAGAAAACCTTACTGCACGCGAAACACTCAAAATATTCTGCCTGCTGCGCGGTATTCCAGTGAAAATCGGCTCCCAGTGGGCCTTTCAACTTGCAGAACAGCTTGGTTTCGCTATGCATTACGATAAAAGGTACTCTTCATAAATAATTATATAACAAAACACTTAAAAACATTTTGGTCCTTCGGTTCGGAAATAATTATGTATTTTTTAAGGTTCACGAATGCAGTGGTGGAACAAAACGGAAAATAAGTACGGCTCTTGCTTTGTTGGGGGATGCTCCATTGGTTTTCCTTGACGAGCCTACCACAGGTACTTTTTATTTTTTATCATAAATTTTCAAATATTTTATAATCACAAAAAGATTTAAAGAAATATCCTTGTTATTTGCTATCTTTTTTGAAACATTATTTTGTACGGCATAGATATGAATAAAGTTAATTGCAATAAAATCCAAGTTATGTAAACATAAAAAAAGCTTCTTTTCGAGCAAATACAGTTATTTTTTTATTTAGATTGCTTTAAACATAAGATTCAGAGACAAGTTTATCGGCGCACTCACTTATTATAAAATCTTTTTTAAGTTTGTAATTTTATGAAATGAAATGAATATGAAATGTATAAAGGTATGGACCCAGCATCAAAACGCCGAGTGTGGCGTTGTATCAGTGACGCCGTCGTATCTGGACGTAGTGTAGTACTCACCTCGCACAGTATGGAGGAGTGTGAAGCGCTTTGCTCCAGATTAACTGTTATGGTCAATGGACGGTTGTTCTGTTTGGGACCGCTACAACATCTTAAGAACAAATTCTCACAAGGTGATATATTATTTAGATATTTTACTTAATGTCATAAAATTTAAAAAAAATATAGTTTGTGTATCAGGCTCAAATCTAAAGTCTTTTTTTCTACGACATTTGACATTGCTAGGACTTAGACTTCAGACTTAGGTCCGTATTCAAATTCGGTTCTTAAGATAGAATGTTTGATTTAATTTTTGTTTGTAGGTTATACTCTAATTGTGAAATGTAGAGAGACGTCACAAAGAGTTGCAGACGTAGCAAGGATAAGAGAGTTTGTCATAGCCAATTTTCAGGATGCTAGACACATGTAAGTATTATATATAACAGTTTTTATGCTTTAAAAATGTATTAATATATTAATAAAAAATGTAATGCAAATGTACTTTTTAATATTTCCAAACCTATTATTATATATTATGTTCATAATCTTACCTAGAGTAATTCCTTCCAGCGAAACCTACCTCGGCATTAGTACGTATTACATTCGCGATCAAGAGCTGCTTTGGTGGCAGCTTTTCGACAAAATGGAGGAGGCCAAATCCCTCTACCCCATCGAGGACTACTCCGTATCACAGACCACGCTCGAACAAGTGTTCTTACAGTTTACGCGTATGCGAGAAAACTCACGTACGTAACTATTAGATAATTTAGTGCAATGGCCGATTGGCCAACTAGGTAAAATACTTTTTCTACTAATTGTGAAACATGAAATGTTATAATTATTTTTATATTTATTTGGATTTTTGTTATACAATTTATACTCATATGATCTGCATAATGGTACCAAATTATCTTCTTTCAAACGGAAGTTTAACGACTGGTTTCTTCGTCTAAAATACCAATTAGCTACGTGTCGTTCATTTTTCTATAGCATTTAACAGTCGATTTATACAGTTTGAACTACCAGTCTCGTTAAACCTAAATATTAAACTAATTAAATTACTATATTTTCAGTAGCTATCTTAAGCTTTTGATCTTATATAATAAATTCAATTAAGTCACAAACTACTTAAATTGTACTTAAATATCTTAACGTAACGTACGTACGTTAATAGCAATTTTTATTGCCGTTTTCGTTTAAAAATTCAGCAATTTTTATATTTCAATGTATAAATTCAATGTGATGTACTTAGATAAGATTTAGAAGGTGTTACGAGGGTAATACTTAGACAGATAATTATAATAGTTTTATATCAAGATTTCAATAATTTTGGAAGTTTCGGGAAAATAGCTTAGGGAGCGTTCAAGTATTACGTAACGAATTTTGGGATGGAGGGGGGTCCTTTTGTAAAACGTTAAGATGCGGGGCGGGGATTGAATTACGCGTTATTGTTAATATTATTTTCGACTTTCCAGTACTTTACACCACATAATGGTGACTTTTAGGTATAAAGAGTCACTAGGTGGTCACGAAACGTTTTACTATTGGAATACAGATAAACGTTACGGCGCGTTACATGGGGGGTGGGTCAATAGTCTCGAAAAATTGCGTGACGTAATACTTGAACGCTCTCTTAATCACTTACATAATTAATAATACATGAGTATTATCTTATTTCGCTTTTGGATCGCAAACATTTTATTTAACTTTCTTTTGACCCGACTGACTATATCCAGTACTTAATACTTAAAATACTTATACAGTAACTTTTAAGATATAATAATGCGCCGGTACTCTGCATCTTCCAAAAGCGATGACTACTCGAGTTCTTCAATATCCCGAGCGCTGATGACGAAACCTTGGGAACGCGTGGTACATGATACTGTCGTGATCGAAATCGCTATTGGGTGTTACAGAGTACAGTGTACCCAGTGAATGAAATTAGTTAATTCAAGATACTGTCTGTTATTAAAATAAATGTGTTCCTTGAATAAAAAATCGTCTGCATTTTCTAGTTAGGCGCAGTATTTAATATGGTAAATAATAAGTTAGATAAAAGCTATTCTCCATAGAAAAGCTAGCAATGACAAACGCAGCCATTATGTTAAATTTTAAGTGTGAGGGGAAATAATATAATGTACATATGTGATATCTTTACTGTCTTTGGAAAAATGTAATTCGGACACTATTTTTTTTGTATTCCGCTTTATAGCCCTCATAGACAGCAGAGTAACTAATAGATAAACGATTTTCAGAATTATATTACGATTCGGTTTTGGAGTGTTTTTCTTATAATGTAGTTAGTAAATTGAAAGATTTCTTTATATTTGTATGTGTACTGATATTTTGCACTTAATATTTATGAACCAAAGCTATATTGAATCTTATTCAACTATAAAATAAGTTGTAACTTGTATTATATTTATTTATCAACAATGGTACAAATATTGTATGGTATAATTTGTGATTTTATATAAATTGTGATAGTTTGTGATTTTACTTAACTTCAACCCACAATCAGTGATATTTATGTTCCTATTTTTTCAGTTTGAACTTTTCAAATTAAATAAATTTTTTAAGTATATTGTACCCATTTGATTAATAGGAATGTACTTACGTATTGGTTTTTTGTCTTACAGTTTTGACATCAAAGCTGTTTTTTATTCAGTTTGGACATTAATAATTTGTTCAAAGATTAAGTATAGGACAGGTGTGTGTAATCGAAAGAAAAATATTTTTCTGTCTTTGCTAATTTATGTACAATCGTAACAATTTTGGGTTCGAATTATTTAATAAGTTGCCTTATCTCACTGTATTTAAGAAGTGTACGTTTGCATTGTAGGTTTACATTTTTTTAAATAAAAGCTTACAGAATTTAAATTCTTTTTATTTATTCAAATGTACAATAATTTTCTTATATAAAATCTTTTAAATAATACAATTAAGCTGTTTGAAGTACTTAGATCTAAATATAAGTTAACATGTGCTTAACATGTCATGGAGTCGTGATTGTTGTATGTGCATATTAAATTATTATATACAAACTAAACTAAAATTTAGTCATGGTAAAAATCATTTAAAACTCGACACCGATTTCTGGTCCCAAATCTTATCCAAGAAATTGCTATATGTAATTTTATCTTAACGATTTTATATAATTTCGATTATTTATTAATTCTTTTGGTCAAAATTAATTTGAAGGGTACCCGATGTTCATTGCGGATCTTAAGTTTTATACTTTTTCAGAAATAACTAATATAACGTATTCACTGGTCCTAGTATCAGAAACTGGTACTGGTCTAGTACCAGATTCGGAATAGATATATTAACTTGAAAAGGCCTTTGGAGGGACTACAATAGAACCTTGAAATATACAAAATCTATGAAGTATGATTTCTTTATATACAATTGGTTTACATTAAATTAAATATTCCGTGCCTACAATTGAGTTCATACAATAAATCCCAATAATGTATACTCGACATAACCTAGAAATGAGTAGTTTCCTCACTTTGTTGATATTTGGTGAACTGTAGAAATATCTGTTCGAGGGATGTCTGTAAAATACTGTAGTCTTCAAGTGGAAGACTTTTTTTCGCTCTCTCCATTATCCCAAACATTTTGGCCCAGGACACGGTACGGTCTGGGAGGTAATAAGTTATAAGGCCCTGGTACTCCTCCCTGAGGAACGGATAAATGTGAAACCCAAAGAAAGATCAGTTTAATCTAAAGTAGTTTTGTCTCTTTCTTTCAAATTTCCCGTCCCTTTTTATTACGTTGTGATAAAAAGGGACAGGTGACTTTATTAAAAACGATGCAATTGGACTATGGATATCTAAAAGGGCCTGGGACTAGTGCTAGACAGGCTACTTCTAATTAATTTGCGATATTTGTTTCAAAATAAGTGTTGTTTGATGATTTGCTATTTTAAAAGAGTACCGAGAGTTTTTTACCCCGGCTTTTCTCTCGGCCTACACCCTCTGTCTTCTTTGCCGATGAGTAGGGATGCCTACAGATTTTAATGACATGGAATAAGTGATACCTGTATCTTATGTTCCATAATAAACTAATTATTTTTATTTTATGAATAAGGCAGAATTTTTAGTACTGTGTAAAACGCATCACTTAAATACCTGAAGGAATTATCAAAGAAACAAATTCAGAAATGAGGTGGTAGGGCCTAGAATAAAACCAATTAATATAAATACTTACATCAGTCGTGGACGGATAAAGTTTGCCATGACATAGCTTTTAATTAAGTCAATGTTGCTTGGTCCTTCATTATCACCCGATTTCACTTTTATTGTCAACGTGAAACCTGAAATAAGCCAATTATTTTGCGTTTCAAAAAAGTAAACAAATTACATTTTTTATTAATTTAGAGATTTGGGTTTTATTTTTGCATTATTTTTTATTATTACTAAAAACTATATTAACTATTTTTATCGTTAAAAAAGGAAGTCATAAATTTAACGAGTATTTTTTTATAAATAAATAGCAATATATTGATTACAATTAATATTAACTGTTAATATTACTATTATATAACTGCCCACATTTCCGAACCAATTTAACATAAGGTCCTTCAAGAAAAAAGTGTACCAATTCTTAAAAGGCCGGCATCGCACTTGCGAGCCTTCTGACAGTGTGAGAGTCCAAGGGCGGTGGTAATACGTAAAAAAAAATGAACACAGTAAAATTATTACCAAATACATGTTCCTACAGAGACAATAGAATAGATTTGATTGTAAATGAAATGACAAATGGGCAGGAGACTAATTTGTTGTGAAGAGATACTGCCCCCAATGGATACTCACACTGAAGGCTCGCAAGTGTGTTGCCGGCCTTTTAAGAATTGGTACGACTTACTATGGATGATACGTTTTTTCTATAGCACATTTCTCATATAACTATTTTCTTTAGTTTCCAAGTAAAAGAATATGTACTGTGTTATTCTAAATTTAGTTTATTTATAATTGAGCAATAATAAATGAAAAAAGATGATAATTATGCGATTTGTTCTGAATGTTTGTACTATAGAGATCTATTTCTCCTAATACCTTGCGAGAATTTATTCTTGAGATGTTGCGGTGATCCGAGACATTGGAAGCGTCCGCGCACCATCACGGTCAGACGGGAACAGAGCGCTTCGCATTCCTCCATACTGTGCGATGTTAGTACGAAAGACGTGTTCGCGCGTCTGAAACATTCGTACATTGTGAAACAGACCCTAATTATTTTGAGTCTGTTTCGTAATTATGTGTATGTTTATGTAATTATGTTTAAGTTCTACATAAGTTCCAAATAAGCTATTTATTACTTATTGGTAGGGTAAACACTACTGTTGCGTTTCACGACTGTCAGATAGCGCTATTCGTCACATAAAGTCCATCATAAGTTATGAGTCCGATGAAGTGTCAAATAGCACAATTTATCTTCCAAATAATTTATGTGTTGCAAAGCTATTTGGTACTTTATCCATACATTGTGAAACAGACCCTTAGAATAGTAAAACGTTTCTGAAGAGTGAACATCGTTTGTCTTTGAGATTATTTTTCCGCTGATTTTTTTTAATTTAAAATTTTTTTTTGGGGTTGGAAAAAATTTTTTTTTTTTTTTTTTTTTTTTTTTTTTTTTTTTTTTTTTTTTTTTTTTTTTTTTTTTTTTTTTTTTTTTTTTTTTTTTTTTTTTTTTTATTTTTTTTTTTTTTTTTTTGGGGGGGTTTTTTTTTGTTTTTTTTTTTTTTTTTTTTTTTTTTTTTATTTTTTTTTTTTTTTTTTTTTTTTTTTTTTTTTTTTTTTTTTTTAAGTTGAGAAGATTTTTTTTTTTTTTTTTTTTTTTTTATAATTATTTTTTTTTTTTTTTTTTTTTTTTATTTTTTTTTTTTTTTTTTTTTTTTTTTTTTTTTTTTTTTTTTTTAAAAAAATGATAAATTTATTTTTTTTTTTTTTTTTTTTTTTTTATTTTAATATATTTTTTTTTTTTTTTTCAGTTATTACAGCTGATTTAGGAGGTGATATATTTTTAACATCGCTTAATAAATGCTTTAATAACTAAGCCTTTGTGGATACAGCAGAAAAAATCCTATATCATAATCAGGGATGTTATGGAGCTCCGTAACCGTAACCGAAACAATCGGATATCCGAAATAATAATAAATATGTTAGATATATGAAATGGTTAAAGATAATAGTAGAACAAATACCTAGCATTCCTAAGAGCCCGCCACACTTGTCTCTTAGCGGCGGGGTCTACGCCCGTAGTCGGCTCATCTACGAACACGAGTCGAGCCCCGCCCATCAGAGATATCGCCGTACTCAACTTACGCTTGTTGCCGCCGGAGTACTGATCCACCTGAGGATTATTACCGTCAAAGACGAACAACATTGTTAAATGGATATCGAGACAAATAATAAGGCTGTTAATGATAGAAAGAAGAAGAAAAGGAAAATCAACCAGATATTTTGATTTCAGAAGATTCATGAGATGTGATAAATTTTTGACAGTGCAAAATTCAAAATTGAACTTTTTAATATCAGACTACACACACACATCTTCACATTTTACAATCTCTATATATACATATATCTTCTGTGGATGTATTTGTAATTGAAACTCCTTCTCATCGGCTGTATAGATTTTGATATATTTTTTGTGTATTCAAGTGGATTCCAAAATGGATAAGATTACAATTAGATGATTTTAAATACAAAAAGTATTTAATACCTGCGTGGGACGTTGTTTAAGGACAATATAAAATTACATCATTAGTGTCGAGACAAAAAATATAACATTACCCGCTTATCCAAATGCTTCGTAAATCCAAGCGCAGCAGCCAACATATGCGCACGCGCAGTTGAATACTCGTCACGGATGCCACGGAACAATGAAAACAATCGGAGCGTCTCACGTCCCGTCAGTTCGCCGAACACTGCATCGAACTGGGGACAATATCCTATGGACAAAAACAGTTTTACTTTGTTATCTATGAAATTAAATAAAACGTATATGACGGATAATATGAGGATAATAAGATGTAAATACGATGGTATTTACACCATTATTTAAAGAGGTTTTATTTAAACTATTTATTTTAATGGTACAACATTACATTTAATCACATACGCACAAATAAAAAAATTTTAGACATTTATTATTATTATATTATTGGAACGTGCAATAAGTACACATAGTGACCAAAAGCTATAAAAGAAATTCCTATTGTTCATAAGGGCCGTTAGATGTATGAAATTTAATTAAAAATTTAGAATATTTACACAATATAAAACAAAAAACGAATGGGCCATTGCATTAGTAAGGTTTAAATTTTTTGATGTAGGGTTGTGAAATTTACTAGAAAACCTCCTGTGATGATCTACTTTAAAGCGCAATACACACTGAGCCCGCCGGGCCGCCGACAAAGTCCGGCGACACAACCCGGCGGCCTGTATGAAAAGAATCATGTCGGCAACATGCGCCTGCGCGTGTTACCCACAAAAAAAATGGTGAATTTTCCGACTTGTAATAAGTGAAGCCGCCAACTAGACCGCCGATAAAAAGGTGCCAACATATGTCGGCGGCCCGGCGGGCTCAATGTGTATTGCGCTTTAGAATCTCTCCCAATACTAAAAATAATATAAATAAAGTGATTAGACCATTTAAACTTCGCTTGCTAGTTTCGTAATGATATTTAACAACGTGGAAAAATTGCCTAAATACCTAACCTAACCTAACATTTTGTGTAGAAATCTAGGCTTGGCTGTGAGTTAAAAGTCATACATACCCCATATCTCATGGGCATATTGCTGTTTTATTTATCAAATTTTTGACAAAAACTATCGCCCGATTGTACACGAAAAAAATAATAGCACTGGAAATCCGAATCTGTAGTTTAGTTGTACCCTACGAATCGAATAAAACTTGTAGAAATTACGTCTCGTTTAGTAATAGAAACAGGGCCTATGCAACAATCGCTAAACTTCACTCACCAATATTTTCATAAACTTTATTGAGGTCAGAGCGAACTGAGTGTCCGCACACGTAAGCATCTCCACTTGAGATGGACTCATCTCCCATGAGCATTTTGAAGGTGGTGGTCTTCCCAGCCCCGTTTACTCCCAGAAGACCGAAACATTCCGCCTCACCCACAGCTGAAAATATACACTTTTAATACAAGAAAAAGAAAACAAGACTACTTTTTTAAAACACATGAAAAAAGAAGATATTGAACATGGTTAGCTATTTTAATATAATATGTTTGTTATCCGCAATAAAGGAATAGTAGGAAACTCATGCACGAGTACAAAAGTAAAGGACGTAGAGAATATTTTATTCGTTTAAACTTTACCTTAAAACAACACTATATATATAGATCTACATACAGGAATAACAGTTAAACTTAGACAATTCAGCAGTGAATAATGACAACAAAGTGATTGATTATTTAATTTTTAATTTATTGCAATGGTCATAAGATATATCAATATAGCGATATTTAAGAAAAACTATTTTTTACTACATGTCTACTTTAAAATGGAATAAACGAAATGAAACTTTAAAATAAAATAAAAACCTTTTTTTATCATAATAGAATAGTAAACGTTCCCTTTGAATTTCTCTTAAATGTATTATTTATTTTATTTCTTTATTTTCTACTCTAACAGTAGGTAACTTGATAATAATAGCAATAGAAATACAACAATTAAACTAAGCACTTGCAAAAATATAAAACCCTATTTATAACAAACTGGCGCGCCCAGAAGTTGTCCTGTACACAATTTTAAAATACAAAAAAATACCATCTAATTGTAAATTAAAACCTTCTCGAATCCACTTAAACACACAAATAATCATCAAAATCGGTCCAGCCTTTAAGGAGTTTAATAACAAACACACGCACAGATGATATATTGAATATAAATTGACTAGTAAAGCAAAATAAGTACACTCACTGAAAGATATCTGATCAACTGCAAGATTCTTTCCATAGTACTTGGAAAGGGAATGCGCAACGAGCGTGTGCGCAGACAGCGGCACTTGTTTCGCGTGACGCACTTCGTCGGCCACGTCTGGGTCTAAGGTGGCTTCGTCCAATGGAGTCGGGCGTCTGCTCCATATGAATAACTAGAATTATTGGTTATAAGAATTATTTACTATACTCTGATTTTTCATTCCGTAAAATTCTGACATTTCATAAGTGTTGCTATTAAAAAAGTTCTCAACCGAAAAAGGGACAAATTTTACTTATTTGATTGTAATAAAAAAAAATGCTACGTATTTTTTATGTTTAACCTACAAAAAGGTAAATCTAAATATTTACTTACTCAAGTGACCTAATTTAAAAATAACAAATCTTATTCTTTAGCTGGCATCACTGCTTGCTAATTCCAGGTTTAGTAAACCTTTTAAAAAACATAAAATGTTATCTGTACTTGTGCGTTTTTTACTGTTTGTTATGAAAAGGAACGTAATTACCACTCGCCGTTAAACCACTTTGAATGTAGAGCACCGCACTTAATAAAATGGATACATTAACTAACAATAAAATGTATGTATAGACTCAGATGTTCAGACTCGTATTTAAATTGAAAAATGTGCCCGACAAAAAGGTTTGCCATCACTGACATGTCAAAAAAAGATAGCTGTCAGAATTATACGAAAATAAAAATCAGAGTTTAGGCAGACAACACTTAAGATTTCGAATTCTCTCACAAATTTCGAATTAACCAGAGTCGACTGTATATATTTCTCAACAGTTACGACTTAGAGACCTATAAGAGGAGAGCGAACTTTAAAGGCCAACAACGTACGTGCAAATCTCCTGGTATTGCAGGTGTCCATGGGCGGCGGTAAACGCCTTATTTTAAGAGAGTTTGCCTGCTGTCCCATAAAAAATTGCGCTGTCCCCAACTTGACTATTCGGGGCTGATTCCGGATACTAGGTACGGTTTCTTTTAATAAATGTAATAGTAATATCCAATATTTTTTTAAATATATATAAAAACCATACGATTCTCATTTAAATCTAAATTCTCTATTACATAATATTTGATCTTTATACACATAGATAAAAAATATACTTCGAAAACGGCCTGTAGAACAACTCTTCTATAATTATTCCTTTAAAAACTATAATTTTTACCCTCTGAATCAACCTGTACTCTAACAGAAACATCAGACTCCACAGAACGGCGCAGGAGATCATCATACTCAAAAGATAACGAGAGATTCCTGGCTTCTCCCACTCGAAGTATGGGTTCTCACGAACTGAAAGTTAGACGTTCATTTTAGCTTGAGCTTGGTGGAGTTGAGGTCATAATTTCGAACCCATGAACTTTTCTGTCTATGTGCGCATTTAACACTAGATTTCACGGTGAAAAACAACGTGATAATACCAGCATGGCTTAGAGCCAAAACTCGGGGTGTGTCAGGCACAGAAGGCTGAGCACCTACTTATTAATCAAATAATGATAAAGAAACAGCTAAAAAATCGGCCAAGACT